TGTGTGTATGCGTGAGTGAGAGTGGTTCGACCTCTTGGTAGAAGGATAATCATAAGTACGCGAATGTGCGAACCGATGTTTATTGTTTTACATATTGATATAATACTTCAATAACCTTAAATATTATGACATTAACTATGCAGAATCTGTCTCTATTAATTAATATAACTTCCTGTGTGTGTGTATGCGTGAGTGAGAGTGGTTCGACCTCTTGGTAGAAGGATAATCATAAGTACGCGAATATGCGAACCGATGTTTTATTAACTAATGCAGATGCTGTGGAAGAGGTTTGTGCTATGCTAATAATAATTTCAATATTTTTCCTCTTAAAAAAATTATTGGAGAATTTTAAATTTTATTAGGCAAACTTGAGCTGATCATTGATTTAAATGGTTTTCAGAATTGAGCTTACAGTCTGTATATTATGCATGACATGACGATCAAGTTGATAATACCATAATTAGATATCCGTAGTCAAGGACGATCGGCTTATGAAATGTTGCAGGAAGATCATTCCTTTACTCCTTCCGATTATAATTTCGTTCGAGAAGAGGAATACGGCATCCTTGATAAATGTAGGAGATAGAAGGGATGCCAGTGGCGTAGGACAGCACCAATTGGGCGCTGCAGTGAAGGTCTTTTGGAAGTCAGGAAAAATTTTAGCTGAGCGCCGCGAGGAAGAACGTGCTTGGCGCTGGCCTTTTGACAGCACAATATAACCCGACGCAATAAAATCCTCCTTACTCGAACAAGATGAAAGATATTATCTCGTATACTGAGAGCAGTTTTGAAATTAAATTAAAAAGAGAAACGCTATAGGATTCACTTAAGTCTCTAATTTAAAAATGAAATAACGTTCAGTATTTGCATTTAACATGTCAAAAATATTACGATAATAACCGTGATGCTGCTGCTGATGATGATGATGCTGGTGATGATGATGATGATGATGATGATGATGATGACGACGACGTGATATAATTATGCTTACAATGACCTGTATTGATGTACAAATTCCTCAACATGAAAATTATGATTTTTTTTTTCTTTGGCCATTAGGCCATGCTTGAAGTCCTGTCAAATATAAAATCCACGACTTCATAGTTTCCCTGCCAAAATCGCATAATGAGAGTTTATTAGCGACTTTTATTGGAACCAGTCAGACTATGTGACGTCACACTTTTCATACGTAGTCGGATATATTATTTTGAAGTATAAAATTGAATGTGAAGCTTAAACATACACACCCGAAAATCAGATCATCATTGACATAAAATATTAATGCGAATAGATAAATGATTGTTTTAAATATTTATATGAAGAGACATTCAGTTAACAAACTGCACCTTCGACGCAAGATCAGTAGACAATTAATCACTTTTGGAAGATTAATGTGGTGATTTGATATGGAAATTATGTTCAACGATCCAGGCAATAATGCGTGCTGTAATAAATGGTTTTTTTTTCTCGAGCTTGTTATGAATGAAAATTAAATTAGCATGTTTCATATTATCCCTTGTGGAATGTTAGTGTCACTGGTTTCAGTCATGTTATTATATTCCATAATCTTATCAATTGTAAATTTATTAATGATTCTCTCTAAAGAACAATTTAGCATGTCTCTGAATGTGATTCCCATCCGTTTCTATAATTTCATAATGAGATACGTACGTATGATTCGTGGTAGGGATAGACTTGGTGTTAGGGGCGTGTCCGATGTCAGAGATCGCGTTCGACACGTAACTGTTGTCGTAACTTGGGAGTCCGAACCAGAAAAATGCAGTGCAATGACTTTGCAATCATACATGGAGCTAGAGACTGTACATTCGCATCACAAAAACTAAAGCAATATTTAGTCATCAGTTATCTTAAATGTATTGACTACCAGTAGCTTAGCAACTAGCCAATTAGAACAAAAAGGAGCATGTCCCACCAACACGCACGTTTCCGTGCGTTTTTCCGCTGCCGTCTTTTAGGACAAGGCGCGGGTCTTAAGCTCGCGGCTTCCATAGAATCGCTCACCCTATCGGCGACAGTCGCTAACAGTTGTCGGGAAGGTTGAACCTATTTCAGCTTTGCCGATTGCGTTGCAGACGAATCAGGATGCATTGCTAGCTACCCTGACGCAATCGGTAAGGCACCCCGATTCGTCTGCAACGCAATCTGCAAAGTTGAACCAGGTTCAACCTTCCCGATTGCTGTCGGCGACTGTCGCCGATAGGGTGAGCGATTCTATGGAAACCTAGCTTTAGTGGAACGGTGCGTGGACAGGTAGACAGTCATTTGTTCCGTTTAGGCTATACATGCTCATATCAAATCGTTATTCTCCTACGAATGAAATATTTTTAAAATGCAATTCCAGTCGTAAATCATTTCTGTAGAAAAAAAAGTTCGAAATTAACTCTTAATTTATTTTGCTTTCAATCACGCGACGAATATTAGAATGATTATTTACGAGTATGATATTTGAATAAGGGTATTCAACCTAGAAAACAATGTACATAGAACAAGATTTATGGAACTTTTTTTTTGCCCAGTAATATTACAACTACCAAGTACGGGGTTGTTTGAAGAAAGATTTTATTCCAGGGGTGGCTTTAATCTACCTTCTTTTTGAAACTGCTCTTATTGTTAATACTTAAATATTTAAGATCAATTTAAAAATAGAACTGGCTATCCAGATGATTTAACTGCTTTTTAAGTAATCCGTAATCACCAATACAACACAATATAGACCTAAATATGCCTAACATTATAATATAGGAAAATATTGTTATTGTAACATATTCATATACGCAGCAGGTTTGGTTGAGGTAAACGCAGTCGTGTTGATTAACGTAAAGGCATATGTTAAAGCTTGGTTTCTATACAATCGCTACACGCCTTCGCCGACAGCTTTCTTTGATTGGTCGGTCGATTTGGGGAGCCTTCCCGATCGCGTCGGGGACTGCAACGCAGTACAACGACTGCAGTGAAAACATTGTAGCGACAGTGTAGCGATTTAAGAAAACCAGGAGTAGAAACGAATGTAAACGCGGTAATTTAACCCCTTCTAAAATTCTTAGCTTTTTAAACATGTAAAATCCCAGTTATTGGCTTAATTGTTAAAAAAAAATATCTCTCTGGAACTTTTAATAAGTAGTATCATATGATGATGAAATTATCATAGATTATTAAATAATGAATAATGACGCCAAAACATTACAGAATGATGCTTGTTGCAAACTGTAAGTTATATTTACAAGGTTATCATGTTTATGCAGTATCATTGCCAATATTGTAATCATTAACTGCGATACTAGTATCAGCACTGTGTTAATGTATTATAAGCAGGATTATAAAACTTGTTCTTTAATAAAATAAAATCTACATCAAATCACCGAAGGTTTTCGGTGAAGCTGATTAATCGGTGAATCGGAGAGCCTTCACGATTTTGTCGGGACAGCTACCGGTACGCAGCGATTGTTGTGAAAACACTAGCAAAAGAGTAGCGATTTCAATCAAGCTTAGGAATACTTGTTTTAAATTTTTTTTATTAAGGGTATTGCATTCCTGCAGCGTTTAATTTTAATTAGCTGGTATGTTACTACAGACGCCGGTTGTCGATTGAAAGTAATTTTATTAGCAATTACCTTCGGCGTATCTTTCATTATTTTTGAATATTATATCTTTAAGACAGAGAGTTAATGTTGAATATACGCGCAGCGACGCAATTTACAGCAAAACGTATCTCTTAAATACCCTCGAGTTATTAATATATTTTGTCTGCCCTAATCTTAACCCTGACCACTGTTTTGCAGCCGCCCTCCAATAGGCCTTCTCTATTTGACATTACGTGAACTGGTCGGAAAGAAAAACACTACGGAAAAACATACATAGCGCGACACCTGTTTGAAAGTTTATGACCAATTTGTTTGCTGCCCTCTAGAAAAACTACCCTGTCCCCTTGGTTATAGTTGTAATCTGTATGCTGTAATAAAAAAAAAATACTTCCAATATGAGCGCTAATATTTTTTTTACTACAACAATAGTGAGTGATAGGCTATATACATTAGCTTCATGATAATAACAAATACTGTATAACAATTAAATGGTTTTTTAAAGTTGACACTTATTTCCGAATTCATCGTTTTTGAAGGAAATATCAGGAACTTTCCACTTTCTGAATAATTAGCGGTGTATATGAATAATTTGCAAAAGCTAAGCTTCTACTATATTCACCCGACAGTGGCATACATTTGACAGAACGCCAGAATTGACGGACTAAACTTGTTTGGGTGTGTCCAGGACATTTTCATGATGCCACCGTGTACGAGCGTCACATGCAATGCAGTTCACATGAACAAAGGATTAAAGACACGACCTGCTTCATACTTAGGTTTTATTATTAATGTTAGGTTTTACACAGATATTTCTTTGGGAAACTCAGGTTGAAATATGTAGAGATAATCCCTTAGCTTAAACTACTCATCTCAGAGCCTCCAAGTGGCCTTGTCCTCCTGGCCTAGCCCCCGAAGGAATAAGTCATTTTCTCAGTTCGTATAAGTCTGATCATTAACGTTGCCGTCGTCGATCAAACCATGATCAAACAAACAAGATTAAAACGCATAAAAAAGAAAAAAAAAATCACATTATACAATTGTCATACACTTGACAACATAGAGTATGTGCACACAAACACGTGCTTTTAATGTACGTTTGAACATCACCGGTTGATATATCAATCACCAGCAGCATAGAATATATAATATTGACAGGAAATATAAATTAGATTTTTGAAAAATATGGCACCATATGGAATTAATGATTTCCACAAAATAGACTTATTACTGCCACGTAACTAAAGAAAACAAATTATGTACCACTAATGCTTTAACTGAATTATACTATAGGTCATTATTATAAATACTATGTGCAATTGACATGGTCAAATTTGTTCATTTTACATCCGCTTTCATGGTCCAAGAAAAAGACCAGGAACGAGTTAATTTTCTCTAGAGGGCGCCCCTTAATTATTCTAATAATTTGGATGATAAAATCAATGAAATTTCCATCTGTCTGACCTGACGGACCAAGCCTGCCTGATTAGGCCAACAACTGTGAAGACTGCTACAACTATAACACAGTGAGATTTGACCTAAATCAAAAGTCAAATATTCGTTCAAGAATTACGGTGTTTTTTCGTCAAGATCGTTCAAAATGACGGCGAACCCTCATCTGTGTTTCCCAAAGGCATGACAAATTTGCGGTTGCCAATTTATTGAATTAAACTCTGTCGAACAACTGTCTGTTAATTTTATTTAGAAACGTACGTGGTAATGTATTAAAGTAATTCAACTAACACTATCCGACACACGGCCTTATGTTCTTCCTGTCTCTTATACACATCTAGATGTGTATAAGAGACAGAAATAAGCCTGTGACAAACAATAAGTTAATTTTTTGACTCTGGTATAGAAAAGCATTCCATCCTTGAAGAAGCTTACCACTGCCTAATAAATACGACCATGATCTAACTAAACTTAACTCTCCGTAACGAATATAGTTTAAACACATTGCCGTATCCAAAATTGCCATTGTAGGGGTGCGGGTCAGGGGCAGAGCCGTTGGTACCAGCTTAATCTTGTTCATTATTACTGTAGTAACTTTAATAACTAAATACTGGCGTAGACCTAAAGACAGATTTCTTTGTGAAATGTGAAGATTAATTTAAGATTCCTTCTTAATCTTTATTATAGAAAATAAATTGTATATTCAGAACATTATCGACTCTGGATCTATTCCAATTTGGGATGGAGAGGGCCTAAACAACAGTGATAGATGTGTTCACTCACTGTGCCAAAATATTTCGTGTTCTAAAAGCCTATTATTGTTATAATTTGTAGACGATTTATTCATTATAGAGGATATGTTTATCTTGAATTCAATAGTTTAATTTTTTTTTTGTTCTTCCAGCACAAATGCGGAATCAGGGAGAGCCTGTGGAGAGAGATCATCAGCTGGATGAACGATCAGATGAAGATGTTGCCTTAACTGAGTCAAATCAAGGATACAGTAAGACACTACAACCCCTACCATTATTATTCCATCGTTATCATCATCATAATCATCATCATCATCATTATCACCAACCCGACCACCAATACGAACGTAGAATTTTCATGTTTTCTTCTATTGTAAACAATACCGCTCTTTGTTTAACTCAAATTTATTTTATGTCAAAATACAGAAACATTATATATCCAATTTAATTGATTATGTTTTACTTCAATCTCTAAAGATTTTGTTGCATTGTTAACGGGTACATCGTTAGCTATTAGGACAAATTCTGTAGCCAGGGCAACATTTATGCTGTTGGATGACACTTTGAGATTCACGATCACCTACGAACGGTAAGTCACCGGATATTCAATGCTTAATGAAAAATGAACATCCATAACTCTACCCCCTGTGATAGGCTGTGATGAAGTAGCCAACCTCGCACAAACACCACTGCAGTACGTGCGAACTATGACACTAGTACACAACCTTACTAAACCGCGTTCGTAAACTTTTTCTGCATAAATCCAAGTGCTGCTTCGACTAAATCCTTCAACTTTTCACGACCTTCGTTATGGTAAAACGACATGACGAATGTAACGTCAGATATCTTCTGCGATTACTGCCGTCATGTGCAGGAAACAAAGATTCTGCTTTCTATATCACCAATTTGTTACAATTAAATAATTTGCGCTTCCGTTTTATTCGTTGTAATGTATTAAAGTAATTCAACTAACACTATCCGACACACGGCCTTATGTTCTTCTATGCGGTAGAAGTGATCTTTAACCGCAGCAGAGTGGCGCGTTATGCACAAAATAGATTGATTTAAATTCACTCCATGGTTTAAAATTGTAAATTCTAAACCAAATTATAATACAATGCTTTTAGCCTTGATTTGTAACGCACAAAACACGTCATTGTAAGTTCATCAATTTGAATCAATACATTCAGTTATACTTTAAATGCGGAAAACCTATTTTACTGCATATTTCGTATGTGCCAGCAATTTATATCCAACGTGATTTTAATCTTGGTGAAACTAAAATACAGTAAATTAATATTTATAACTCCTTAAAGGGATTTTCTCATGAGAAAGTGACGTTGATTAGAACCTTTACCTCTGCCTTTAATCATTATCTGCCCCTTAAAATAGAAACATCCTAAATGTGATGCAATACTATGCTTCTTAAAAAAAACTAATTTAAATTTAGCTGCTGAATGAGGGCTCCATAGCCATGACATCCTTTTACATTTCCTTACATTTTATAAAATGAACCAAAGTGTATTCTTTTCCTGATTATCAATTTATCTTTATTTCAGAATGCAAAGACCCGTTTTAATACGCTTCACAAACGCCCTAAACGACACGGTATTCGAGCATGATTTACATGGAAGCGATCTCGACAATAAGGTAAATATACTAACAATACACAAATATTAAAGAGTAGGCCTACAGGAGGAATATATCAGTGATTCGATAAAACAGTGTAGGTCTAATATGCCTGTGTTATTTTCTTTAGCATTTAGAAGCGCCCTATTCAAGCTGGTATATTGTGATTTTAATTTCAAGAATGTACCTAAATTTGCAAACTAGAAAACATGTTTATACACATTAAACCACTTTACATGAAAAATATGAAAACCACGTAGTCCCATTAGTGCATGGGCACATTTGTGTAATGTAGATTAGGTACCGTAATACATATATAACTTTTACGCATAAATACATTATAGCCCTATACATATGTAAATATAATTTGTAGTGACAAGTGCAATACCATGGAATCGAAATGGAGTCTGTAGTTGATATAAGTACGCTAGTGATTAGAAAAGATGCTCTTATCGAATAAGAAAGTATGGGCAGTTTCCTTAGATTCCACATCAGGCCCAGCATGGCTCAGTTGACGCCAAGATAGGTGGACCGGACGCGTATCACAACCTACCAGACAAGATGTTTAAAATTGAAACATGCAAATGTATGGAACATTAATGTAACATTCATCTGTGTTTTCCTGCCACCACACTTTCCAAATCAAGACTTAATTGTGGACACTTGACTAGATTTGTAAAAAAAAACAAACTTGATTTCCACTTTTATATATCCTCTCTGCATGAACTAGGCCTTACTTTATCAACAAGAATATTACTCCGTTGCACGTTGTCATTATCTCAGTACCATGTATTTGTTACAAAACAGGTTTTTATGATAACTTCAGAAATACTCCGGATGTTTCTTTTTGTTCTTGGTTTTTATGACATTTCGGTTAGAACCCTGGATTTTTATTATGGCAAGTGTCCGACGCCTTTTTATTGAATCATTCTCTCTTACCCACTCCCTCGGGAGTGTTTCTGACATTTAATGTGTCCATTGTGACATTTATTGTAACGATAATAAGCCTTCCCACTCGGTGTATAAAGGCGTGGGTTAAGATCACCTTTTTATGGAAGTGATAATACAATTATTAATATTACTGTAATTTAGCAAAGGCACAAAATACAGTAAAGATATATTTAACGCAAATATTATATATTCAAAATTGTTATTATTTTCTACTTTATTTGTTTATTTATTTATAGGCCTGATTATTATTGACAAAAATAAAATTTAAGATAAATAAAACATTAATTGAATGATATTAATTATTAAATATTAAATCTGTTTCTTTGTAGGTTTGTGGCGTTTGGCGAAGAATTACCGGAATATACCAAACATACCTGCACACAAAGTCACTATTCGTCACCTTGGTAACCAAGTCAAACGAAAATGGATTGGTTAGAGGGCGAATTTTAAGTCACCGCGCGCTTACTGATGGTAAATAATATTTGTTGACAGCAATACCTATTTTTTTTATAATGACTATCAAAAATATGCCACTTTAAGTACCGTACTTCATACTTACAGTATTGAATAATCATACGTTTTTGTTTTTGTTTTGTTTTTGTTTTTTTGTTTTTTTTTGCAAATGCTAGAAACATTTAGTGCACTCATGAGCACTAAACGGACACGAAAAGGAATAGCAGTGGCATCCCCGATGGGTTATGGTGGAATTATGATGATGAACGCAGCACATGATGGCAGAACTATCAACTTCGCTATTTTGATGGACGGACTCCTTGAAAACTCCGGCCATGTCAAGACAACCACACTCATCATCGAACTACGCAAGCGCAATGATGTAATCAAAGACCTGAAGACAACAGTTGGAATGGACGTAAGTGACCTATTTTCGATAATGTCTTATCGAAAAACAAGACAAAAACCCCTTAAACTTTTAAATGCACGGTACCATAATCTATCGTTAAACCATCATCATCGTCACCTGCTCTAATGTTATCATTATCATCAATTAATGTCTACTGTTGAGCAAAATCTCCAAAAGTTGGTATTCCTTGTAACTTTTATTTTTGTAAAGATTTGAATATATACCTTAAGGATTTAATAATATATTTAGAGTGGATAATAACAATTTTATAAATCTACCCGTTCTACTTTCATGTCTTACAAATTATGACATTTCTAAAATTAGTCATAAGCGCTAGAAAAGCTGATTCTCATACATTCTCATTACGTATACAAACGTGCCTGATAACCGTATCACGTGACATGTTACTCTAATTTAGTTATTAAGGAAATAAAAGGAAACAATGAAGGTAGTCAATTTTTTGCCCAATAAGACTCAATCGAGACTGTAATGATATCCAAAACCAGACTAAAAATCCCAAAGAATGTAAATAAACAAGGACGTTTATGTGATCCTTGTAAGTACTTAATACCTTTTTATGGGTGCGTTTCAAATTCCAATCCATGGGTCGGAAATCTTCCAGCGATGTTTGCGATTTGATTTTTTGTTTTAAATCATTTTTCCACGATTTAGAAATAATTGATTTTTGGATTCATACGAATTGTTGTTTCTAGCAACCATTACACTGTAGCTACCATCGATGTTTCGAGGATACTCGTTTCAAATTATAAATTCGACGGTATTAGATGTATTTTTATAATTAACTTATCATTTCAAATCCTGGCAGTATGTTAAAAAGGCAAAATAACTTAACGCAGAATTACGTTTTCAAGCTGAATGAGTTAAATATTTGAGAATCCGGTAATCTTAAAATCCGTTTCATTTTAAAGTATTATCAGATACAAATAATTAATAGATATTACCATGAATGAAAATGTTGCTTTTTATGGGGGAGGGGGTGTAGCTGAATTTCATAAAGCGAGGATTGATGTTGATGGATTAATAATAGTATTGATAAAAGATTCAATACTATTATTAATAGTATTTAATCTTTTATCAATACTATTATTAATAGTATTGATAAAAGATTCAATCAATATAATAACAACATTCATTTTTAAATATTAAATTAGTCTCCATGAAGCGAAATTACATAATATAACCCCCAATATTTCGAAAGATATAGGTCTATATGTCTTAGGAAAAACATAAACCATCCAGAGAGGAATGAGTCTTGTATATGTTAAGACCGGATTATTGCACATTAAATTAATGTGAGAATATTTCTAATTGCCGTAATAATCACGAGTAAAGAAGCTTTCTAACCGGGAATGAGCGGCGAGAGTACAATTTTGCTACTCAGAGTTGTATTTATTTATTTATTTATTTAGGGCCTACATATATATTTTTTCGTTTCCTAAATTTCTTAAGCAGTGAACCATTAATTGGCATCTTAGTGTTCAAATCACCCAACCTTAGCCTACACTCCTCACCACTGCATGTTTTAATAATGTATATCAATAAAAAGTGCATTATAAAGTCAAAGAAATAGTGTTCATACAGGTAATTTTAACAGACAAAGAACAAAGCATACTGACTAGATATTAATTTTGATGCAAGCTCCAGATAAAGTCACTTTAAAATGTTGATACGAGTAGGCCAACGTGAAATGTTCTATCTTTTATTAGAATGTTGAGATAGTTGGGGTCTGGAATGGCATGTCCAATCAGCATCAGAAGTGGCTTGCTCGCGGAAATTTGAACATCAGGATACGGGATGAGAATGCTGAATTCCCAGAACTCAGTGGCCAAGTAACACCTCGACAGTCATGCGACAGTAAGTACACGCATAATTTAATACAAATGTTCTATCTTTCTAAACTAATTTACTATTGGTGTTGGTGGCTATTTGTAGAGCGCATACTGTAATACAGAGTCTCTATGCGCATTAGCAATTGTCTATGAAAAAGAAAACTGAAGGGAAAATATCAAAAGAAAACAAAAATAAAAGGAAAACACAAAATGCTAAATAAGATGCAATAAGCCTATAGAATTTATTATATGATATATTATGAAACATTTTGTTTTACTGCTTTCAGCTTTTCAGTCTGTTCTTTCTGGTGGCGAAGCGATTGATCGACCAAAAGTAACCGGAGCTAGCGGTTCAGCTGTGTTGCACATTGACAACGAAGGCAACATCAACTACCGGGTAAGAATACTTTCCACCACATCGTGAACAGAGTGTCAAGTACAAACTTTTATTTATATGTTTTATTTATATATTTATTTTAAATGGAATAGAATTAAATAAATAGCCATAATTATTTAATTGCTGTCATAAGAATAACATCTAAGCCTGTTACAATAATAAAGTTAATTAAATAACTAACCATAATTATTTAATTGCTGTCATAAGAATAACATCTAAGCCTGTTACAATAATAAAGTTAATTAAATAACTAACCATAATTATTCAATTGCTGTCATAAGATAAGCCTAAATTACTATAATAAATTTAATTTTATGTACAGGTTCAAGTTACGGGATTACAAACGGACGTCATAGGACTGACTTTGGAAGGCCAAGTTCGACGAAACCGTCGAAAGGTCATCGCTGATCTATTTGGAAATTATGAAAATGGTGTGGTAAGTATCTCGTCAGTTAATTAAGGAAAATTTCATCATCATTATTATTATCATTATCATCACGATCAGCAGCAGCATCTATTATCATCATCATCGGCTTGGTACAGTATTTAAAGATTTGATAAAAATCGGAAAAAAAAATTACCCTAAAATGTTAATTAAAAGCTATATTTAATGTCATTTAAATTTTAAAAATGTGAAAAACTTCCAATGAGACAAATCAAAACCTATGTATTTTCTTTTCAGTCTATAGGAACGTATTCTAAGCCAAATGTCAAGGAACTCCAGCTTCTCTTACAAAACAATCTTTTCATCAATGTTGCAACTGAAGCCTATGAAAAGTCTGAATTACGAGGTCGAATCACCGCATTACCCTATCGAGGACACATCACAAGACATTCTGGTAATTGTTAGGGTGACGTTTTTTCTTTCCTTTTGCCCCCGAGGGGCGCCGTCTGGAAGATTTTTTGTATTACATGATTTACTTATATGAAATTAAAGGTTATATAACAAAATTATAGTAGATAGTTTATTTTGATGTGAATTACCAAAACAATCCTAATTACGAAATTTAAAAAAATGTAACTACGAAACTAACATGATACCACTATTATCTACTGTTCTCTTAGGCCTACCGATTCCGTTGTCTGGAAAGAATTTGGACCCACCACAAGTCACCGGGGCAGCGGGCCAGGCGTGGCTTTCTCTTGACAGAGAGTGTGCACTACATTATGAAGTTACCACTATAGGTTTGAACACCGGCAGCAATGGAAAAAACCATGCTTATGCAAAATTAGTGATGTACGACGAGAACGAAGAACCAGTCTATAAACTCCTGAGCGCTTTTCAAAATGGCGTGGTAAGTCTTAAATTGAAAGTAACATCGATACTTTAGAAAACATAACATTCTACCAGGAATTAATAAATGTCAATGGTTATTTTTTTTTCAAATCATCTAATTTGTTTTTATCCATCATAATCTTTTATTTACAATATTTCAAAACTTATCTTCTTATTCCGAAGTTTGACCTTTGAATCCAGTACACTTTTTCATAAGACCACATTTTATAAGAAAACTGAGGCTGAAATTGCTCAAAAATTAAGAACAAATTGAGGCTGATGTAAAATTTCAACAGAGGTTTTCATTTTTTTTCTAAAGAAAAACCAACAAATCTTAACATGTACCTCATTTTCAGTAGGTGTGACTGTATAATATACCCTCTTTATACAGTACAGTAATATACTGCTGTACATTAATAATTTTTATGTTTGAAAAGTATGTAAAAAAAAAGTAAAAAATAAGAACATTTTAATCCTGAAATTGCTAAAAGAATAAGAACACTGGGCCAGGGCAAAATTTTACTGATTCTTACAAAAACTCTTTATAAGATGCGGTTAAAAATATTTTGCGAGTTGTTTTCGCCCCTGTTTATGTAGAATTCACTTGATGTATTGTTAGAAGCAATCCCCATAGGAATTTCTGAAAGTTTTTTTCTCGCTTGGTTACAGGCTGTCGGGACAGCTGATGATGTTAGCGAAGACTTCCTGATTAAAATGAACGAAGGGACAGCATACCTATTGATAACAACCAAACAGCACCAGAACGGCGAAATAAGAGGACAGGTAATAGACTACAAAAATATTCATACATCATTGATAGTTACAAAATGCACTAACGAGTGTTAAACTCGCCTAAACGCGTTCTTGCATATTCGTACATCTAGGATATGGGTCGAATTTAAATGATGGAGCTACTTAACGCGTTTGCGTAGTGATGGTTGACGCGAGTGTGCGTCATTGGGCCAATGGGCTCTAACATTCATTCGTCAGTTGTAATTATCACAGCTGTCTCAATACATTACACACAAATGATAAACAGTTGGTTTTACATAATGAAACATGACGTTTGTGCAGTGGACAAGACGATTTTTTTTATGACATTTGATTCACTTATAAAAACTTTTGAGCATTAAACAGACGTTCCAAGCTAAAGCAGGCCAGGACGGGAGAATGCTTTTTCGATGATACCATATTCATGTTATCGCAGTTTCGTATAAGCCAACTCGTTAACGTCAATTGCTATTATGGAAACTGTTTTGTATTTCAGATTTTGCTACCCAACAGTTGCAGTGGAAACCCTAGCAATACGATTGATCTAACAGAGGGTGTTATTGGTGTTAGTCCTGAGACGGATCCAAAATCGTGTCAGTTTGAGGATAAATGGCGGGCTGATGGTTCATTTTGGTCACCTGATTATGATCGCACTTGCAGCACCTGCACATGTCGGGTAAGGGCAACGATACATTTGTTTTTTCACCGATTTGTCGTCTTGAATAAATTTTCCAGTAATGTATGTCATTTATTTATAAATATTATTCCATGGCTTTTTTTAAATAATTTAGAAGAAAACAGTGATCTGCGATCGTGTTGTATGTCCAGTTTTATCATGTGAATCGCCAGAAACACGAGTCGATGAATGCTGCCCTGTATGTCCACCACCAGAACTAGGTATTACTTCTTATTTATATTATTATTAATTAATAATTGTATTGATAAATTAATAAATAGATGGATGAATTAATTGATTGCATGAATGGATGTATGAATGAATGAATAAATGGATAAATGAATGGATAGATAGATGGATGGATGGCTGAATAAATTAACGATCATATAAATAAATGAATGAGTAGGCCTAACTAAATGAATGAATGGATGAATGATTGATTGAATGAATGAATGAATGAATGAATGAACGAATGAATGAATGAATCAATGAATGAATGAATCAATCAATCAATCAATCAATCAATCAATCAATCAATCATAGACTATATAATGCCATTGTTTTCATGATTTCAGCGTGTTTTGTGCTCAAAACATTTGTGTCAATGTTGGGCCCTATTACTTTAACTTTTCAGGATTTTTTTTTCTCTTTCGTGGGAGCAGCCCATCTTTATTCTCTCTTTTCTTTCAGTATACATTTGATACAAAACATATTCTTGTTGTAGGCTATGTATTCACATTCATACATAAACACACATATGCATATACATACACATACATACATACAACTTTTCAGGATAGTCAGAAATACTGCTGTAATGCAACCAAGATTATAACATTTTTTTACTTGTGCATGGTGGGATGTCTCCTACATTGCTTGTTATGTGCATGATTCTTTTAACACAAATCTTTTCCTTGAAATTTACTTTTCAGATTCTTCAACTCAATCGCCTGGTATAATTTCTGATAACACAGCGGAAAATTGTAAGCATGCTCTTTGACCTGAATATTCTTCATAATTATTACTGTATTATTAATTAAAATTAACGGCCTGCGCATGAGTGCTGTGCATCCAACTTCGCCAACTGATGTTTCAACTTTCTTACTAATGAATAATGCATGAGATGAACGCGCCCGTTTTTTTCACAAATATAACGAATTATATGTTATTACTGTATATTAAAATCCAATTTTAGGTGGCAATCTTTGATTTCTATAAAATATGTCGCAATTCATTGTTTGATTTACAAATTAAATATTTATCTCTTTCTATTAACAGCTTGTTACTTTGAAGGCGACAAAAAACACCATTCTGTTGGTAGTTCATGGCATCCTTACGTGCCGCCATTTGGATACGTGCTTTGTGCCATATGCACATGTGAGGTAAGATCACAGATTATAATTTCGCCATTGCTGTTGTTGTTAATAATAATAATAATAAATAACATATATTTATGTAAGGGTAGTATAAATAAATATATATATATATATATATATATATATATATATATATATAAGATTATTTTATTACATTTTTTCTTCTTTTCGTATTAATTTGCAGTCAGATTTATCTGTAAATTGTACGAGAATGAAGTGTCCGCCTCTCGACTGTGAACGTCCAATTAGACTCGACCCAGAAGATTGTTGCCAGGTATGTCCACCCACTACTCCCGAACCGAAGGCTACTACATCGGCTCTTATACTTGCTGACGAAGTTGTACGAGGTAAAATCAAAATTGAATAATGTTATAGGCCTATTAATTCTTTTTGCCGTTATTCAGTATCTGGGTACTGTGTGTTTCCACAAATACAAATAAGTTAGTAATATATACACTGGTTTATAACTAGAAATATTGGAATAGAGAAAAAGCTATACCATTTTGTCCACAAAAATGATTGAACTGTTGAATTTCCTTAAAACAATAGTACACTTTTGAGAGTATGTTTTTCTACACCTTCTAAATAACATATGACGTTGAACTGAGTGGAGATGTAGCTTGGTAGTTAAATTTATTGCCTTCCAATCACATGGTCCTGGGATGAAATCCTGCCACAGTACGACTAAAACACGTCTCCACTCTCTAAGCCTCGTAATGGGACTTCGATGACACAGCATCATGTTTTTGTTTTCATTTATTTAAGAGGGCCCCTGAATATCAGCCGACCTTCTAGCTAGAAAGGGTCTCCCTCTATAAATATGGTAACAAAACTGTACAATTAAATTTCTCTGAAATAATGCCACATTATCCGAACATTTTATTAATTACATCGTTATTTCTTGGTTCAAAATAAAGGATGTTCTTTCGGAGAAATGCTTTATAGACACGGGGACGAGTGGAACCCTCTTGTTTACCCAATTGGTGTCATGCCGTGTGTAACCTGTCGCTGCAAGGTAAACTTTCCTCCAAATACTACATTGTTTAGCCATACTGTGATATTATACCATCTACTATTAGTTACTTGTAATGTCTTTTGCTTTTAGAATGCTAGAGACAATCCTAATTTTTGGTAACACCTAAATAATCGTTTCTGTAGCTAGACTGCTCTTATAAAACGTGGATGATTTTTGAGTATGTAGGCTACGCTAATACGACCACAAGACAGTGTACTTTGTATCTCGAAATCAAAGTTAATTTGTTTTTTCTTCAGAATGGTCAGCCGCAGTGCCGTAAAATCGAATGCGATCCTCTGATTGGCTGCAAAAAGAAGAAAAAGAAGGGAAGTGGGGATTGCTGCGGAGTGTGCCTAGATCCAGTAAGCACGACGACACCCTCTGGTGGCGGATCAAATTCAAGTAGAAAGTCGCGCTCAAAAAATCGACGATCTAGTAAATAAGTAGTATATATCATAGAGGTTCAACGGTAACCAAAAGAGGAAATTACGTTATCCCGACCAAGTGCGATTAATATATAGACTTCTGCGTCGCCTAGAAACAACTTAAACACCTAACTAGTTGTGGTGACACGAGATAATGACGCCATGTTGGGTGAACAGGCTATCAGTTGTAAGAGCTTTTAAGTCCATCACTTGTAGTAAAACTCCCTCATATTGCGCCATACTTATCGTTTATTGATTATGAGAAATAAATAGTAGGGCTATCTATAGTTGTGGCAGTGACCGTTCTATATGAAAATTGCTTTCCAAAAACGCATAATATGTGCTTTGCTCTTGGCGCATGCCGACGGTTCAGTACCAAGTGGCTGTTGCGCAACATGGAATAGTACTGAATGAAACCCCTTGTTCATAGTAGTATTAACCCCGTGTATTAAATTTTACAGGTTAGATTACCTGTGAAATGTGTCCGCTTAGTAAATTTTATGGTTTGTTTTACGTGATAGAAACAAATACATACGTCACTACTTCATTTCCAATCTAAAAGGTGCCACTGTAACATAAAACTGTAACAATAGTTTATGCGAGAAGCAAACGGGATCCTGTTATGAAAGTGAGGAATATTATAAAATAATACATTATGGTTTTATTTCCGTATTAGGCCTACTTACTTATGTAGCTAATCCGTCCTTATTTAAATTTAAGTATTGTACATATTTCTCACGTCTAATGGACAGGGTGAGTAAGGGTTGGTTTATAATCAACTCAATAAGTAATAAGTAATAAAGAAATTCCCCTGAAGTGTTATTATATAATAATTATGATATAAATATGTCCTATTTTAAGTTACTCGTCTAGATTATTATCAGATAGATAATTGGGATGAAAAGTAATCATTTTTTTTTTCTAAGGGCAGAATGTTTCTGAAGTGCAATTCGTGAAAACATCACGTGACCAATACCTAATTTGAACTTCCCAGTCTGATGTAGACACTTGTATTCGATACAGATGTCTCTGACCATTTCTACATATTTATTTTGTATTTTTTTATATATACGCATATATTTAAACTGAGTTGATATGTATTGAAATTGCGCCATCAGCGTCAGAAAATATATATTCTACCACGTGACTGAATACTGAGAATAATGCTAGAATATTAAACAATGAATTTATTTGAATTTGTTAAAGTAAAAGTAACAATTATCATTTATTCATATTTATTATAAAATCTCTCTATTCTGAAATACAATAATATTCAAAATTCCTTGAGCCTAACTTAATGTATAATTATGTTAGCAATTATTTGACTTAGTGTCAGCAATGTCAATCGTGTGAATTCCTGTATATGTTAAATAGAGATTATTAATTTGTTTTTGGTGTAAAATAGCTATTTTAATCTATTTGTATATTGCTTTACGACGGACACTGTTATCCACGTGTGTTTGCCTGCCGACTTTTCTTGATTTTCAATCATTCCCAAGATATATTCCCGTAGTTTAGTAATTCCATTGCAGATACCACTGAAATATGAACACATTAATCAAGACTACGTCATCCCCATTAAGCATTATATTTCGTTTTTGGTAAAATTATCCGAATGCCATAACGCATTCCTTTTCAATAAGACAGGCCAACATTAATTATCTAGTCTACATTGCTTATAGCAGTTGTTACCAAAAACTGGATGCAATATATTGTGCGTTAATGTTTCTGAAAAGATTTCAATCCACTGTATCATGCCATTTAATGTTGAAACATCTGTACCTAAAAATTATAGTGGTTTTGTACAACGTAAGTTCCAGAATAGAATAAGGCATTGTGTTTCGATAGCAACACGTTACCATAATCCACAGTGTAATGCATTTACACTTGTGTACAGTTATCAATTATTCACAATATATTGAGATCGGACAGCCGTAATGGTTCATAGGCCTATTATAAATCGGATCGGCTTTAGCTTACCAACACCCTTAAATCTTAATAATGTAAAATGTAGTATATTAGGCACTATAGCACGTTTTTTCTGCATATTTTGACTTTCCGATGAAACTATCGTGTAAAGTTGTAAAAGGCAGTTGGACAACATTTAAATTACAGTACACAACTAAATTTGCATTAATATGGAATTCTCGTCACCAATATATTCTACAGTTGTCGGTTGTGCAACATGTATTTGTTTAGAAACTATGCGTACAGAATCCCCATCATTATACTGAGAAACGATAGAGAATGAAGTAGTCATAGGGAACATGAATGAGTGGAAGTGGGGAGCGGCAACAGCAAAGGAATTGAAAATATAAGATTGTATATTGTGTAATGCTATTTACTATTTGCTGCTGCTTGTAAGAAATTTTGTAAAAGAAACAATAAAGTGTTTTGTCGTAATAAAAAAATAAAAAACACCATTAAATCTTAAAACATCGGCTCTCGTTTACGTCCTTAAGTGTTTTATCATATTTTTCATAATAAATATCGAGTTATAATTTAAATATTATTCCGTTATTAAATTACGCAAATAAGCACAAAACGTTGTGGTTTGGCTATTTCAGAAAATATTGTTGCAGCAACGTTATGTATCTTCAACTATGATTTATTCCCGCTGAATTTTGTATTTGTCTTGATTTATAAATATTGCAAACTACAAAAGAATAAAAATATATGCATGCAAACATTTCAGAATGCTATATTATAAATCAATAACGTACGTTAAGTCAGTTCATATACTAACATTGCATAAGGACACTAATTTACTTTGATCTAAAACGGTTTATTCTAATAGATTGTGTCGCCTTGAAACAGCAGGACAATTTTTACTGGAATAAATGATGGTAATGAGGATGATAATTCTGACGACGACGTCGATGATGATGATAATGATAGTGCTAATAATGATAATGACACTAAAGTTATGACATTAAACAATGACTTCGACTTAAAACTTTGCTGCTACTGTACTTTAATTTATACAAACCACACTGCATACAAAAACCATGGCACCAGGGTGGCCGAGTGGTTAAGGCGTTGGACTTATGGGTTCGAACCCCATCCCTGGTAGCTTTCTTTTAACTAATTTCTATATCCTTTCTCGTTATATACTAACTTGTTTTGTAGGTCTCAAATTATTGCCAAAGACGAACTTAACTCGTCTACGTACATGTTCGTTGTAACTGGAATTAGGCCAAAAAAAAAAAAAAAAAATATGTTGTGTTGCCCTCCGCGACCGACCGAAATTTTCCAAAAAAAAAGGGTCGGCATTTTTTTTTTGTGGAAATTTTGAAGTACAAATTTGAGAAATACCACTTCCGAAATTAATATTTAGAACATAAAATCTGCAATAGACATGTATTTAAAAAAAAAAAAATTAAGGCCAAACATAAACAAAATATTTTTTCTCTTTTTTTCTCCAAGTTTACTTCGATTGTATTACATAGAGGGCGCTGGTTTGGACATTTTTCATAGCCACAGTATTGTTTTGCTCGACCTGCCCGTGCGTGTGGATCGGATACACATAGTATTATTTTACGTTTCGAAGCCAAATAAATCTTTCTTTAAACTGATTTATTTTTGTTAAATTTATATCAATATACACTTGCTTAGTATTTATTCCATCATTACTTTGAATACTTTCTGTTTGTCAAGCTTGCCATCGTTCTATTATGGTGCCTACGAGCTAACGAGCCCTTAGGCCTAGGGTCTTCATAATAGGGACTGTGGTTTCAGGCCTATCCTATTCCAGGTATTACTAAAAAAATGACAGGAACTAAGAGTAGACCTACAATAGTGCCGGCGTTGAGTTGTTATGGAAACAAAGAACATGTTTTCCTTCACAAGACATATTTCACCGCTAAGGTGCTTTATATTGTCATGATATAAGATATTGTTGTACTGTATAACTTCCAGGAAATTCATGTTTATTATTTTAAAGTATTAATTGAAGATGATCTAAGAAATGTTGGGGACACCAACCAAGCACTTGACACACACCCGGCCCACGACAGAAAGCACTGGCTCGAGTTTGTAAAACACGCAATGGTCTATAAACGACGCACAACGTACAAATGATGATGATTATGATGATGATGATGATATATTAAAGTGATTAAAAATATTCATATCGTCATCATTCTAATGTAAAATAACTTCCTATCATGCAATGTTTGATGTATGAGTTTAAGGTTATTTGTTAATGTGAATTTTTATATATACGGGTTTAAGCTAGAGTTCAAGTTCACTTTGTTCGTCAAATACAGTAATAGAATACACCAAATGACAAATTGCTTCCCGATGCAATGCCACATAAATTGGATAAAACAAGCCATACAATGATTGAACCGATTTATGATCTAAGACTGATTAAAGAAAGCTAACAATAGTTATCTTGCAACAAACCTCTCGTTCATTTTTGGTTTTGGTTGATGATGATTACTGTAGTAAGAAGACACAAAACAAGGTCTCCTACATTATATGATACTTTAAAACATCAATAACACAGGGGAAATAATAACAATATTATAAAAATTGATGTAAGATAGATATAGGTTATTCTCTACCTTTACCTTTACAGTTAAGGAGTACATCTTATAACTGTCTACCGGTACTTCGATACAGGTTTGGAGTGTATATCAAATGTACAATGTTTGGGATGATATGCGGTCAACCATTTACGCTAACTTAGTTTTAAAAATTGTTTTTAATTAAATATAGCTTTAAGATTTGAATGCACTCCGGAAAGTCCAATGCATAGGCCTATTATATTGAATACTTTTTATTGTTATGTTTGTCTGGGCGTGTAAGCGGCCTGTATTTTTATATGCACTGAAATAAGAAATTGCAAGCTTATTACTGTTTAGATATCAATGTAAAATTCAAGAAATAATTGTTGTAATCATACATTACTTTAGCAAACTATTTTATTCATCTAAACAGTCAGCTCATCATCTATAAATATAATAATTCATTTTAATCTCTATGAACTATTTACTGTGAGAGAGTTATCAGTGATTGCATAAACAAGCTATATAATGGTCTACGTATACTGATGTTGTCAACATCTAAACCCTGAAGTTAAAAAGTATTGAAACGTGTAAGAATTTTAAGACTTTTAAGACATTTTATATTATTAGCATGTCTTCTTTTATTTATCATTTTTACAATAACTAACCTCAATAAATATTCTAAATCAATTATTTAATCAATTTGTATATATGGTAATAATGTCATGTTTTTTTAAATTTATATTTTTGTATTGTATTTTTTTAAAATTCTTATCATTTAAGGCGCCTTTGAACATGAATATTCATAAAAAGGGTGCTATATGAATTTGGTAAATAATTATTATAAAACAAGTCACAAACCACTAACAGAAAATGAGAGAACCACAATGACGACAATGTGTTGTTATGGAAACAGCACGTTTTCCGTCATTAAATTGATGTTGCCATTATATCGCATTATATAACGTACTAAAATGTAATATTTTGTATTACTCTTGAAGCAATTGGCTACATAACATCGCAATGGACTCTAGTTTGTAAGTAACCATTATGCTACAAGTTGTATTTTTAATTCTCAGATACTTTATTAACTCCAGTTATTTTCCTATCTAACATAACAGTTTTTATCAGAAGCAAATTAATTTAAAGGCTTATTTTGACTCATAATCGAAACATTCTTTAAAATAATACACATTCATGCTATTAATTTAAACTGTGATGTTGTTATAATCATTATTAGTGTAAATTCTTCAGCGTTTTAGTTTTGACTATATGCAATTAATAATAAATAAAGTAATACGAATTCAGCAGTAAGCTTTAGATTTTTCTTCCATAATGCCCAGTTCAGTTTTAAGTCGGCCATACGATTTCATATAATGTGCGCAACGCGACGAGGCGCGCAAAAAGGGATCGTTTTGTTTTTAATATTACGACCATCTTAGACTTCACCGACAATCGGGAGACTGCATCGTGTCATCAAGCGCTCACATACAGCAGGGATGAATTTATCGGCCAATGCAGCGTGCGTATAAACTTATCTTATAATGAGATATAGGTAGTGTTATTTTAACTGAGCGTTTTTCAGGGAGTGTTTATTGACAATACCAGGTACATAAGCAAAAATATTTTTAATAAAGCCATGTACAATTTGAATTTCAATGTAGACCTATGTTTGATTTGAGCACCCGAACTATGTAGACCTTCACAAATATTTCATTACAATTTTTAGTAACGCTTCAGTGAAATAAGTAGGGTCTATTCACGGAAACAGTATTCTTTAATGACTCATATTACTGCTTGACCGTTTTTATATTTTTAATAAAACCAATTTCTTCTAATTTTAAATACATTTCTCATGAATTCGTGATCATTCGTTATCACGCATAGACTTGTGCTAAATGTGTGACAAATTTAGGATGACGCATCTGCAAAATGCGAGTTTCATCCAAAATCACTTTGAAATGCGGGACCGTACCGCAGATGAGAGCCGGTTGGAAAATATGTGTTTGTTTGTTTGTTTGTTTTTACAGAATTCCAATACAGGACCCTGAGACTGGAAGGCAAGCATTCTAACCAAATAACTACTGCTTTACCGAAGCACTGTGTTCATCAACTTGTGTATTGCGTGTATTCTATATAACTTTTGTATTTAATTCTTCAAAAATAAATTTCAGTTTTACAAACAAGGCCTGTATTTTGAAAACTAGAGTTCTGTATAGTCTATTATTGTATCCCTCGGTCATTTTATAACCATTCAACATGGCGAGTTAACCATTTTTTGGTGGTTACTTATGATTTTATTAATAATTACTACATTTATTTTGTATTACATTGCACCTGTAATTATAGACCTACATTATATCTAATGGTAAACATTTCTATTGATTCATGTGATTCCATCCATTTATGTTTAATTTCTATATTATCATACCACATACAATACACGTATACGTAAAGTTTTTGCTGTTAAGTTTCTGTTAGTAGGCCTATAATTATTATTATTTCGAATCATGTCAAAACAATGTACTATTTAGATTGTATTTTAATAGTCAACATGTCCAATTATTACTACAGCCAATCATGTATCAGCGATCGCTACAAAAAGAAAGAAAATGACTCACAAAGTACCACTACAAGTTCAGATTCGAGAAGTCAGGTAAAAGCTCAACTAGGATTTAGACATCAATATTACGCAAGAGCTTGACAGTTATTTTCTGCAAGCATACAATAGCCTATATTTAAATGAAAACACTGTTTTACTATCAAAATAAAGGAAGAATTATATGTAAATCTATGAACCTTGTTGAATATTAACAAAGAATTCAGATTAGGCTTTTAGGTACCACAACGCATGAAGTGCCTACAATAATTAGAGACTAATTTTAAACAGTATACTGAGTTCTTTTTAGTGCCAGTATGCTACTTCCCTCACGGAACTAACGGCTTACCTTCCATTTGTTTTATTTTATTTATTTCTTTATTTTTTTTATAGTGGGGAACCTGTTAAGTAGGATATCTGTTCTCCAACAGGGCCCAGTACAAAAAGACAACAATAACATTTGCATTCATAAAAACAAGCAACATGCATAAACCAGAAAAAAATACATTAAAATCTCTATCATAAAATTTTAAAAATTGTTAAAATTTAAAAAAGATCAATACAAACATTTTTATCCAAATACACAAGCATTTATGACTTCGCAAGTATCGAACTTGGTCCGATAATTGCATCCTTTTGTATACCACAGACGTATGCATTACGGACCAACTTGCCAAGGCCACAAGAAATTATAACTTCGACAAGTATCGAACTTGTTCCGTTTTGCATACATCTGTGGTAAGGAGAAATTTATGACCCAGTGAAAATTAGCCGTATTCGCATCGGACTTAATTTTGGGGTCCAACTAACCATGTGATAGTAAGTTCTCAGCAAACACAACGACTAGACTGAGCCACATTTTCGATATTATCTGTCATTAGCCACAGATTCGGTAATAATTTCTCCATACTTAAATGCTAGAACAGCCAATATAAAATTACCATTTTACTTGTTAAAAATTGTTTTAACAAAAAAGTTACACGAGTACAATAAATACATTCGAAGAATAGTTATGATGAAAATAAGGTTTCATATGAAAAAAAGTGCACGGCTATTATATATCTTGATTCGGTGCCAATAATGCAATAACATAAGAAATATAATAAATATATTTTTTGTATGCCTATTTAAAGCATATGTAGGAATAACATGTGAAAATTATGATGGGAAGCAGCGCGAAGCCTTCAGTATTTATAGCCTTTTACTCTAGTGTATTTATAGTACTCATGTGACAACTAGTTTGCACTCGGTCAAAACAAGGTAATACATCAAGTTTCTATATTTGTAGGAAGATGATTCTATTCAAGACGGAATGAACGATGAGCCTAACGAAATCTGCGCCGCCTCGTCCCGTCTTGTTCCGAGTGGTAAAAATAAACAGTTGGTGAAGATGATGACACTCATTCTGCTGCCAATATTTGTCTTAATAGCGTTGGCAATTTCAGATCTTATTACCACTGTGCGTCGCAGCATTGACGCAACTGAAACGCGCAGGAATGTTCGTTTAAGCCAACAGGTAACGAGGAAACGTTATGTAAATTTAACACGTCCCAAGTACTACTATTGTTTCTAATGAATTATAAACGTTTACAGGCCAATGTGAATGATGAAAAAGATATTTATTAACATAATATAATATGCCCAGTAAATTGGTAAGAATACAATTGTGGTGAGGTACTGTGCTAAAAAGGTGGGTACAGTTTTTTTTTTTCAAAGTAGCCATATCGCCATTTAAATACATGACTCATTAGCTGTAAGTCTGAGATGCTTTCTTCATGATGTAAGAACTGTAAAGTGTCATGTTTATCTTTCATGTTCATAGGTGGGATCTATTATCCATAGTTTGCAGCGAGAGCGTGATATGACAGCTCTCTACATTAGCTCACTGCTAGAAGAAAACGGACCAGAACGCAAAACCTTTCTCATCGATACTTACCCAATGACAGACGAGGTTCTGCAAACTATTGATGACTGGCCTGTAGAGGGAACCAGGGCATACCAGAAGTTCAAAAACAAGCAAGAGATGGTTAATTTTCTTTTTAAATATCGATTGACGCTGGACAACCGAAATACAACTATCTATCAGGTGATTCACTTCTACACAGATGCAATACAGATCTTCATCGACTGGTTCAACGAGAGTGTCGGTAAGTCTGGCGGGCAAGGTGTCTGGGAAACACTAGTTGCCTACCAGCTATTGATTGTTGGTATGGAGCAAATCGGTATTGAGCGAACATTGGGTGCAGTATTCTTTACTCAAGGCGGATTTCAGCAAACGGATTACCTTTGGTATATGGAGAAACTGCAAGTCGGCGAGAGTAACATAAAGGCGTCTCAAAAATATTCATCTTTAGTCAGCTCCATCTTAGATGAAAGAGTTTCTCAGGTCAAGTATGATTTTCAGACCACAATCTCGAAAATGAGAAGAGAAATATCACAGAATGATATGAACAGACTGCCATCCTGGCAGGATGGAAACTGGTGGTTTGACAATATGACCATCTATATCGATACCTTACATGAGATTCAGAGCCAGATGGCAGTGATCATTCTCTCTAGACTTGACGAGGCAATGAAGGCTGATACAGCTAGTTTATCGACTGGTATCTGTATTATGGTAGTTGTAATTATCATAGGAATTGTGATATTTAAAGCAGTGGAATCTCTGACATCTTCGATACAAGATTACACATTTATACTTGCTGACCAAACAAAAGGGCTCAAAACAGAAAAAAGGCGCACAGATACGCTGTTGTATCAAATGCTTCCAAAATCCGTGGCGGAAAGTTTAAAACGCCATCAAAACGTAAAGGCTGAGTCATATAATTCAGCGACGATAATGTTCTCGGATATTGTCGAATTCACTAGAATATGCTCAGAAAGCACTCCTTTCCAAGTTGTGGACATGTTGAATAATGTTTATACTGTCTTTGACAAATATATCGACAAATATGATGTTTACAAAGTTGAAACCATTGGTGATGCCTACATGGTTGCATCTGGTAAATTATTGAAACATATATATAAATAAAAATATTAATTAGGCCTATACTATTAACTATAATTAGGGCTTTTATGATTGTACTTATAATATTGAAAATATTAATAATGATAAAATTAATCATAAATTATTATTATTATTATTATTATTATTATTATTATTATTATTATTATTTTTATTATTATTATCATTAACAGGTATACCGAAGCGGAATGGAAATAACCATGGCAGCGAAATTGCTCTACTGGCATTAGACCTCCTCCGCTGTATTAAGAGTGTGGGAATTCCACACAAGCCGGGTTATTCGATGACGATACGTATTGGCATACACACAGGTAAATTATTTAAGACTAGTTATTGTGTATGTGAAATGTATTAGTAAGATATGATGTTATATTCTTTATAGAATAATATGTTATATATATATTATATTATCTCCTCAATCAAGGTGCAGTTGTTGCTGGAATCGTCGGCTCCAAGATGCCGCGCTATTGTTTGTTCGGCGAAACTGTCAACTTGGCGTCCCGAATGGAATCCAGTGGTCTCCGTAAGTCTTACGGTGAAAAAAGTGTTTAAACAAATTCCCAATAGTCAAAAGTCATTAGAAAAAAAAAAAAAAAAAAAAAAAAAAAAACTCACTTGACCGTTTAAAAAAAAAAAAAAAAAAAAAAAAAAAAAAACATCGGTGAAGGTGCCGTAAGAAACTTGCAAGTAGGCTAATGATTACGTTAAAGCGCAGCAAAATATAAAATGAGTCTCAATGAAGTGAACCAGGACATTGTAAACATTGATATGTTCCGCTCATGGAAAAAAAAACAGCGCATTAGGCTGGCTTTCTTAGAACTTTCAAAGGTTTTGGGGCATACGGAAGTGACACAACAATTGAGTAGATAATAAAGTTAATGATTGAGTATCTATTTAATTTTATTTATTTCATAATTTCACATTTTCCCCATTTATTTTATAGCGAATCGTATTCAGATAAGTGAGACGACTCACAAAATACTTTCGGACATCGGTGGCTTTCTGATGAATAAGAGAGGAGAGGTTTTGATCAAGGTATGTGTATTATTTATACCTATGTTTCAACGAACTAGCTGTAGCAATTACATTATAGTATCTTTTGCATTCGATTATTTTTACACGTTTACAATGTGAGCACAATACGAGTAGGCATAATCCTACGAAATGACATACAGTTATGATTTGCTTTCTAAACGTTAGACTTAGTTGTGGACCGAAAAACTCGGTAATTATAGTACCTGTATTCAATTCGTAGGGACGTGGAATTGTTTTGACCTACTGGCTCCTTGAAGACATAAGTGCAGTCATTCCTAGTCAATCGATGCCTGCTCCATCACAGGTGTTTAACTTCAAGCTGCCTGGACAGTGCAATATATAGTTCATTATACACCTCCACAAGTACAACCGTACAAAAAAAAAAAACAAAAACAAAAACAAAAACAAAAACAAAACAATCTCTTCAACCTTTCGAAGACAGAATATGAGAATATAGATAGATATAACGTCATTATTTTGTGCTTATCATCCACGCCAAAGCTTGGTTTTCGTAATTCGTTATACACTATCACCGACAAATTGGTCTGTCGAATCGAGGAGTCATAATGGTAAGAATGCTGTAAAAACACTGTAGCGACAGCATAGTAGTTTTACGGAAACCATGCTTAAATATATGTTCGATTTATCGCTATTTAAATCTATAAAATGTGTATACTAGTAAAGAATACTTCTATTGTATTTCGATGTGATTGAAGTGATATTATTTCATACCTGTCGTGTTATCGTATACCACTATACCTTATCACTTACTGTGGATACATCTCATGTATGTCATACTGCAACATTCAGTAACTTGTGGGATGCTACTGTAGTTTAATATGAGGACATACAAAGTGAAAATATGTCAGTCTGTATTACCTTGATTGGTATAATGTAAGCTTTATATATTGTCTGGTATCTTTTGTTAAATTGGGAATGTAAACTATGTTGCGTGACACATTTAAGTAGGATAATAAATATAACAATCCAATTTAAGGATTGTGTCTCATAGACACAAACATTGCAGTACCAGTGGTATGCCTACTGTGAGACTACAAACAGCTTTTTGAATCGCTTAGGAAGTGTGTCTTTGAAGTCGGTTGCAAAACAATGAAAGTTGTTGTTTATCTTAATGACAAAACAGCTACTGTATTTGTAATACATGCTAATTTCGTTAAAATTTGTCTGAAATAATGTTACTGTAATAATAATAATAATAATAATAATAATGAACTACAGCGAGTGTAAGTGTTTGAAAGAGTTTTTATTATCGATTTCGCCTCTGAATCAGTATTTTATTTTCTTTTATTATTATAACAATAATGGTAGGAACACAAGCTAAAGAACGTCTATGGTAGGCCTAGGCCTCCACCAAATCATATATATTTTCATGTTTATATCATATCATAAAAGAAATGCATTGAAGATGATAAAGGTCATTCTCAAGTATACATTAATTTGAAAATACAAACCAGTCATAAGTTAAAGATGTTGCAGAATTTTTTTATAGGAAATATTTCTTAAGTTGTTTATGATTATTACATCTTTAGTCTAAACCTGCAACCAGTTTCCCCGAAGTGTATACAGTAGTATCCATACACTGGGTGCACCAAATAAAATAAATTACATTAGAGGCGTTGCAAGTAAGGGATGGTGGGTGTATGGTTAAGTTAGAATGGTGGATGTTGATAGTGTCATGGGTAATGATAAGATTGCAAATTTGGCACCATGAATTGCCACAAGGGCGATTAGCAAATTCAGGAGTGATAGTGGCCAAAATCGTCACCCGGGATTTTCGTCTTCTCTCTGACTGCAATTATTCAATTCAGAAGCACTTAAATCACGACTTTTCAAAGCATACTAACAACCTCATAACCTTAATTCACTACTCATTTCATCTAAACTCCCCACTGTCACTGTTTTCTGTTATCGGGATTAGTGAAACAGGAGGTGGTGTGCAGTGGAACATTTTATCCAAGATAATTTTGATGTCACTATAACTTAATAAGACACGATTGAAACAGAAATGACGATCATATTGAATCATTATTTATTGAAAGTAATGTAAATAGGAAACCTACCGTTGTTGGAGTAATTTTTAGACCACATAACAAATCCATAGCTAACTTCAATCGAACGATTGATGAGTTATTGTCTAAAATTAATTTCAAAAAGAAAATGTGTCACATTATGGGTGATCTTAATATCGACCTTTTACAAACTGATACGTCCCTCACACCTACCAATGTACTTTTAGAAACCAAACTTTCACACTCATTTTATCCCTTAATTTCTAAACCTTCGTATAACTATCATTCTGCTTGATAAAATTTTTACTAATCTAATTCAACCTAACATCAATTTCTAAAAATTCTACCCTTGATAAAAATCTTACGGATTGTATAATAAATTATTGTACAAATTCATTTTATATTTCACCAGTTGTTGATCAAGAAGTTTTTAATATTATAGTTTTAAATTATCAAATAGCATTGGTCACGATCGCATTCCTTCAAAAAGAGTTAAGTTTGTGGGAAATTTAATATGCACACCTTTGCCCCATATTTTTAATTTATCTATTTTACAAGGAATTGTTCCAGATTATATGAACATTGCTAAAATTGTACCGATCTTTAAAAAGGTTAAAAACACTGACATTTCAAATTACAAAATTTCCATCATCCGGCCCATTTTTCCAAAAATACTTAAAAAATATGCATAATCGACTCTATAATTTTCTTGAAAACTTTGACCTATTAACACAATATCAGTATGGTTTTTGAAATAAACATACCGTAAATGGTCAAATAAGCGCCGCGGCGCTTATAACATTTTTGGAGGCTTCAGTGCGGCACTTATTCGAGTGCGGCGCGCATTATTTTTTTCCCATACAGTTCCGGCAGAAATTATAGAGGGCACTATTTAAGGTCATTTAGGTGAACAGATAACATAAAACTAAACTGATTCATCCATGGTTAGGGTAGGCCAAAATCCCTTGGGTAGTCGGTCGAGAAGAAGTGTATACAGTCGATACAGAGTGAACTACCGTAATTGACTATTACTGTAATTACAATATCCCTATGCCTAGGCAGTGTTTACGTACAACATATGGTCTTTGAAAGTAGAAAGGCAGCGTTGAATTTCTGGTCGATTATTCTAGTAGTGTAAAGTAGCAATAATTAACTGCGGTACTACTGATTCTAAAGGATAAACGTTTAGAAATGCTCGGACACACAGGTACAATTCTATGTATTGTTTTAATGTTAATTTCTTACCAACATTTCGTTCATATTTAATATGGATAAAGGCATACCGGTACCGTATGATTATATAGCAAGCAGGTACAGTATATTATAAACACTAGATATTCTATACACATGATATGACGTACTGTTTGTGTCTACCCAATTAAATATAGTATAGCTTTATATTTTAAACGATCAAAATCAGACGGAAGTAAAATTACCTTTCACTGATTTCAGAGGGTTCTACAAAAATCCTTAAATGTTACCAACCAATGAATCATGCAAATGAATACAGAAACGCTCAGTCTGTAAACACTGTAGGCAGGGATTTTTTTTTCTCATAAAAAAACAAAAAAACTTTTAATTATAAAATTGTAAGTCAACGTGTTCGAATTACTAGTAATTTGTCGAGAATTTCTAAACGTCCTTCAGAATCAGTGACTACTAATAGGGAGCATACAATTGCTACAACATACACGTCATAAACCTATCTGTAGGCCTAGGCCAACTCAAATACGGTACCGTTGTTTATACTTTCGAAGGCCATGCTGTAGGCCTACATAGAATGTGTCTAATCTAGAACTACAATTTTGAAACTGTCTTGACCTGGGAACAGTGACTGTTCCCTGGTCTTGACTACCAAGGCTTGTTTTGAGAAATTTTGGCCAAGTGACTCCATACAGCCGCAAAACTCGATACACCACTGCCCAGGGTTGCTTGTCACATATAGTCGACAGTCTTCACGGCCAGACACACGCCATCTCACGGCCAAATTCGGCCAAACTTTTTTTCGATATCGGCCAAAATTCGGCCAGATTTTAATCCGATTAGAAGACAAAAGTGGATACATAATTACACGAAAATAAGTGGTCATTCGTTAGAAATTTAAGAAATTCAAATTATATACACAGAACAATGTTAAACTTTCACTGTTTTTCATCTTTTAATTATCACCATAAAATACATGCCCAGCTACATCATTATAAATAGCCTATGTTCTTTAGTTAGTTGCTGGCATGTAGGCCAATTCAGGGGCGAATCCACAGATGTCCAAAAGTGGGAGGGGCCGGGGCCGAAAAAGATAACACCGTCTTGGAGAAATGTTTGCTTTCTAGACGCCCGAAAATAACCTCTGATGCGTTTGGGCGATCAATTTTTCTTTATTTTTCTTTTCACCCCCCACCCCCCAAATCCGCCTCTGCTTTTTAAAATCACATTATTAAGATTGATCTAAATTTGATTTAAATGTATTACATATTAAGGTACATTGTAGTCGATCTATAGCATAGTTACCAACTGTCTCGCATTTCAAAATGATTTTGGATGAAACACACATTTTGCAGAAACACATGCGTGATCCATAATTTGTCACGCATTTAGCACAAATCTATGCGTGATAACGAATTATCACGAATTCAGGCTACAAGTACCAGTACCAGTAATTGAGTCATTAGAGAGTACTTAATATTTATGTGAATATTTGTTTCACTGACGCGTTACTAAAAATTTACCAGTGAAATGTTTAGGTCAACATAGTTCGGGTGCTCAATTACATGGAAACTAAAAATATTTTTGCTTATGTCACCGTTATTGTCAAGACACACTCCCTGAAATCGTTTTAAAACAGTTTTAATGCTCAGATCGTCGGAGCGCCTGGGGCCATGCCACCTCCACCCCAGCTGGGGTATACAACCTAACTCTAGAGTAACTTCGAAGAAGTCTCTGGCACAACGCTTGCTTGAAATTGGAGGTGCCATCGGACCCGAATGATCATCGAGTTCTACGTAAAGAACACTGCAGCACTTAGGCCTACAATTCAATTGGGCAATAATAAATTAATTAAAGTACAGTATTTAATTTATATTCAAAATTGATTCCAAAGAGATAGAACCTCCACTAGGATGGAACATATGCAAACACACACAATATATGGTAAAAACTTTTGAACTGTCTTCATAAAGCTTAAACGAGGATAAACTTCATATAAAATAATAATATTTCATCCGAACAATTTAAATTATTAAATGTAACTGTTATCTTTTAAATAAACTCTCTTACGTCCAATCGGCTAAAAGGGTCCGGATATAACAGGCCTAGATTAAGCGTTTAGTGCAAGTACAAACAAAGGTACATGATTAGAATCAAATATAGAATTTAAGCTAACAAAAACAACATATCCAAAACATGTCTACGTTATATTAGGCCTACTGTATATTGAAAAAAAATGTAAACTTTTTAAAAATTCAGCCAAATATATTTTGGCCGTGAATTTTCAAACGTTACGGCCAGGCAAATTTTTATACGGCCAGATTTGAGGGATCTGGCCGTCAAAAAGGCCAAATGGCAACCCTGCCACTGCCTCTGTTTCGCGAATCGCGAGTGGGGAGTTTGTAGACATGCATATTCATGCTTCAGTTCTCTCAACTGACCTAAAATAGCACCCTCTGTAATTTCTGCCGCAACTCTATGGGGAAAAAAAATAATGCGAGCGGCGCTTATTCGAAAGCGGAGCTTATAAAAAAGTATTTGCGTGGCGCTTTATATGCCCTTTCTAATGCTACTTAAGTCACGATTCCTTTCCGTATCGGTAGACCTATCATAGGTCCTAGTCATCGTAAATAAATGCTTGTTTCATTGTGGTATTTATTCATTTTAACACTGTATAGATAGATAAAACACTGTTTCTCAAAGTGTTTCATTACACACAGGGTAATATACCCTCGATTAAGCGCCGCGGCGCTTAGCGAAAATAATCTTATTAAAGAGCGGCGCTTATTTGAACATTTACGGTACAATAGAACACGCCGTATAGTCCAGTCCGAAATGTAGCAATATCAGAGGTTGCATTTTTTTTT